ATGAACACACCCTTCCCTTGTGGAGAACCTCATTTAAAAGAAAAATCAACTTGGATTACAACTTTCAGAATGATTATTTTTACCTCTCATAATATACTTGCAATGTACACCAACTACTAATCATTACAACACTATCCCAATTACTTTATTTTTATTTAAATAAAGAAGTGATAAATACAAAAATCTACTGTTTTCTATTTGACCAATCAGCCGAGTTTGGGAAAACGAAATAACCCCCTTCACAGTTGGGACTTCTCGTTGAAAATTCTCAAAACAATCGCTGTGTCAAAAAATAGATAACACATTAGAAGTGATTTAAAACTTGGAATACATGAGCACAATAGAAAACTCTTTGGATAAATGGTATAAGCAAAACAAGTTTTAAATTATCGTGAGATTTTACATTTGAAAAATTCAACCCATTTTATCTACACAGTTTTGAAACCAAACACAAACAAGACTGCTCGTATCAGGGCGAAGCCTTGATTGTTCCGACTGCCTTTTAAGGTTTATGGAGCAGCAGTAATAACATTAAAAAAATTAAACGAAATAAAATAAAATGAAAATTTTTTTCTCTAAAATTTGAAATTTTTAATGAAAATCATCCCCCCACACGCCATATAAAGTACAAAAAGATAGATTTCGTTCCTTTTAACAAATCAATTATGGCAAATAAGCTTCGTTCAACCAATTTGGAACGATTTCTAAGACGGATTAAATCTCCGCTTACGCGTTAATAGCTCTAATTATATGGCGCGTTAATTGTCCCAAATTGGTCAAAATGGCAATCTTTAAACCCTCATAACTTTACGAAAAATGATCACAGGTAAAATATCTTTTCAAATTTAAGCTCAGGACAATAATACCTTTTGAATGATATTAAAAAGTTCCGTCAAAAATGGCTAGTTAAAAAGTCGAAATTTGTCTGAAGAAAAAAAAACCCACCCGAGCACAAATATTCCATTACTTTCGTATCGAAAGTCGGAACAACAACAAGTGCATAAGACACTAAAACGAAAGATTACACGTTTTTTACAACCGCTTTCCACAATTATCATGCAAGTGTATTTCTAACAAGTATAATAATAACCTTAACCCTCATCCACGATGCTAATACAACCACTAAACTCAAAAAGAAACTCTAAACAAGACTGCGCGTATCAGTACAAAGCCCTGAAGGTTCCGACTGCCTTTTAAGGTTTATGGAGCAGCAAAATAACATAAAAAAATAAATGAAATAAAATAAAATGAAAATTTTTTTTTCCAAAATTTGAAATTTTTTGTGAAAATCATCAAACACGCCATATAAAGTACAAAAAGATAGATTTCGTTCCTTGTAACAAATCAATTATGGCAAATAAGCTTCGTTCAACCAATTTGGAACGATTTATAAGACGGATTAAATCTCCGCTTACGCGGTAATAGCGCGAATTATATCGCGCGTTAATTGTCCCAAACTGGTCAAAATGACCAAAATGGCAATCTTTAAACCCTCATAACTTTACGAAAAATGATCAAAGGTGTAATATCTTTTCAAATTTAAGTTCAGGACAACAATGGTTTTCGAATGATACAAAAAAAATTCCGTCAAAAATGGCTAGTTAAAAAGTCGAAATTTGTCTGAAGAAAAAAAACCCATCCCGAGCACAAATATTCCGTTACTTTCGTATCGAAAGTCGGAACAAAAAGGTACCTCAAGACCTTTCTGTCACCAACTGATTTTGACGAGGCTAAACAAAAAACGCTGCACAAAAGTTCAATACATCAAGTCACAGCCTAATATGACCCACAACCGAATGCAAACTATGCAAACTAATTTAAGATGCAAGAGTTGATCTGTTCTCCAAAACTCAAGCAAAATAGCTACTCAAAGAAATTTACAGCATTGATTCTATTAGAAAAATTTAGTGCTCACAAGTTTAAACCAAAAAAAATTACATTGGATCACGATTGTTTTTATCTACCACCCATCATCATTTGAACCCTTACAACTACTACTAAAAACACATCAACCCCTGTATCAAAATTTTCTTCAAATTTTTTGAATAGAGAAAAGTATAAATATAATTGTTTACCATCGAACACTAGACTTAAACATTGAATCAGCACAATTTCCTTCGTTGAGATCATATCATGATTTTGAACGAAATCAAATTATGCTACGATTTTCAACTTTACTTCCAATAGTCTATTTACAATTAAAACTTACAACTAGTCAAACACTAGCCCCTGAAACACTATTATATTCACTTCTCAATATACTGAATGAAAAAAAAAGTACTTTAGTCTATCTGAACAATCAGCCTAATAAAGGAAAGTTAAAAAGCTCCCCCCAACAACACCCCATCATTTTTCGGAGTTTTCTTTGAACAACAACATTTTACTTGCTGTGTAAAAACCACATTGCACACTAGATGTGATATACAGCCTGAATAACAAGAGCACAATACATAGGCCGAAAGGAGTTAACAAAGAAAATTGAAACTACCGTGAAATTTAAAATTTTGAAATGATACCCTATTCTATCTTCACCTGCACAAATCACAATGGAAGCAACCTCCCACTCTCTGTTTTTGCTTTTACAAAGGCGAGAAATCAACAAGGAAAGCAAAAAAAAAATACACAAATTTAGAGAAAAAAAAATTTCAGGATTATCGCACAGATGTATATTCTAACTTGTATAAATTTACTTTGAACCAGTAGCGGATTTAAAGGGGCGGGGAGTTTTGGACGTCCTCATCAGGAATTCGACCCCCTGCGGACCCAAAGGGTCCCCCTTGGTACTATTTTGAGATATCCATTTTTGGTGACTAACTCTAAAATTTTTCTTAAGGCGGCTTTGGCGCCAATATATACTAATTTCGAGGGGGGAGCGCGCGCTGAAAAAACGCGATATTTTGGTCAAAATTTTCCAAAAAACACCTAAAAACGCCTTTTTGGACTGTTTTTTCAATATATTGCCTGCGGTGCATAAAATTTGGTCAAAATGGGGTCTTTAAAGTGATTTAGGTTAGCTTCAGAAAATCAATTTGGACGGCCTAAAAAAAGGGTCGACAAAAACAAAAACTTCAAAACTTTTTGATATTCCGCCCCCCCCCCCTCGAGAAATTCCTAGATCCGCGCCTGCTCTGATCACTACTGATCCGCAATGTTAGTACAACCAGTACATTCGAAAAACTTCAAAATTTGAGCCCCACGACCGTTCTGTCACCCACTGATTGCGATGAGAACGAATAAAAGAAAAAAACACTTTACAAATTTTCAATATATCAAATCGTTATGACCCACAACTTACTGCAATAAATGCAAGATGCAGGAGCCACTGTATGCTCCAAGCTTCAATCAAAAAGAGCCACTGTAAAAAAGTTACACCATTGATTCCATTAAAAAAATTAGAGCTCAGAAGTCAGAGCTCACATGGTGTACCTTAACCAAAAGCTGTGTCAAACATAACTAAATGCTTGAAAGTTTAGAATCGAGATTGCAAACTCCAAATGAATCGTGAACAGTTTTTTATTGAAACAAAACCCTTCAGATGCAGAGACATAAAAAAAATTGCTCTCCAGTTTTAGACGGAAAAGACGTAACTCAACTCAATTTCGGTTTAAAAAAGAAATTTATTAGGCATCTAAAAGCCCAAGTCTACTCTTCACAACATAATTTTTTTTAGAATACAAAAAAAAATATTTTTACTAATCACCATCAGCCCCTCTGACCGAGTGAAAGTTTCCCGTTGATTGATTACTGCATATCACAAAGAATTCGAGAATACGGTCATCAGAAGCATAGATCACACAATCAGACTTTGATGGAACATGAAATGAAAAAAAAAACATCTTTTGAAAAATATTTGTTTTTTTTTTTGAAAATTTTAGAAAGCCGCATTTGGGCTTTCTAAAATTTCATTTTTTAGAATGAGACTTGATAAAAATGAGACTTGTTTCATTTTTATCAAGTTTCATTTTTATCACCACTGGTATAAAAATTTCATTTTTATCACCGTTTCATTTTTATCACCGCTGGCTTTAATAATTTGAATACCATTGTAAAAATTTTATTAATAGCCTATGATATTCAATAACTAACCTTCATCATAATTACTCTGAAATTTGAATTTTGACGTTCAGACCGTTTTCGGATAGATACATTTCAAGGTATCTCCAACTCAAACCGTATTACCAAGGTTTTATATGATCCATTGATACCAAGAAAAAAAGAGTAAAATTAGGACCAGCAATATTATCATCAGACGAAGTTACATGAACGTGTTTGGTCGTGTGGTACTGTGTAGTACTGTTGCCACAATAACCTTGGAGAATAAGTGGTATTAATATTCTGTTATGTATTGTTATTATTATTCAAGGCCATTTATGCAGGCCGAACGCAACAGTCATTTGGACGTTTGCACTCTGAAGAGAGATATGAAAAGATAAACATGATCTCTAAACTAAAACCAAGTTTCACAAAGAGTTAAATTACAATTTATTACTCTTCTGTTTTATTACTAACTAACACCCATAGCATAGGAACATCACATGGCGCAGTCAGCAGGATTTATGTCCCAAGACAATAGAACGGATATGGGAATTCCTGTATTTTGGACAACCGCGAATTCCGACCCTACGTGGAATTTTAAGATATGGCTAGATCAATTTTTACTGGCAGTAACAGTAAAGGAGAGCGTGAATCCGGAACTATTGTTAGAAGAACCAAAGGAAGTTTTGTTGGAACCGTTACCTAGGCCGGAGACTCCACGAGAAAACGAAAAAGCACAGGCGATTGCAGAGAGAGAGGCCAGAAACCAACTCGCACGGGACAAAATTCTTCTGGAAAACGATGAAAGAAGAGCTAGAGGACCAAAGGTTGGACACAACGTATATTATAAAGAAGTACAAAAAAGGGTAGCCTCTAGATTATTCCTAGCGTTGGGAACAGAAGGGAAAAAGAAATTTGTACAAAAGAATCCGCATGTGGCAGTTTCAAAGTTAGAATTTCGAGAGATGGTTGCTTTGGCAAAGATTGCATTTGACAAAACACAAAGCGTTTCGTATGAGCGTTACACACTGTTTAATCGAGCTCAAGAAACAGCCAAAACATTAGAGGCCTTTCATGCAGCATTAACTGCCCAAGCAGCCAAAGCGGAGTTAGGAACACTTGAAGATGAACTAGTGCGTGATTTATTCATATCGAAAATGAAAAATGTGGTATTGCAGGACACATTAACATTTGAAACATTCTCACCAGAGGAAGTATTGAAGAGGGCATTGAAGTTTGAACAGAGCAAACAGACAACTCAGGCATTTCAAAGAGCGAACTCACTGACTGCAAGTGCAGGTCAAATTCACGGAACAATGAAAATAAAGCAAGATCCAATCATGAATATTCGTAATAAGAATGACAATGGGAGGAGACAATCGAGCAATACGTACAAAAAGAAATCATACTCGGATAAAAGAGAGGGGAGAAATCCTATAGATTCGAAAACGTGTACTCGATGTGGTCAATTACTTGGAGAAGGACATCTGAAGAAATGTCCCGCCATGGGCAAAAAATGTAAAAATTGTTCTAAACCAAATCATTTTGCAAAAATGTGTAAGTCGCAACAAGTAAACGAGATTGCGGAAAAATCATCTAGCTCAGATGAAGAGTGTAATTTGATTCAGTCATTTGACTCGTGCGATGAGTTTGAAATAATGGCTATCGAATCTGAGTTGTCGTCGTTAGAACAGATAGACGAATAAATAAAACAGCAAGCGAATAGAAAACAAGAAACCAGGGACAGCGGTAAGGACATTCAGAAGGTCGATATTCGCAGAAATACACGATCGCAACAAATAAGGTCATTGAAAGCTTTGGTGAGAATAGATCATCAAATCATAAATATGACCATTGATACCGGAAGTCCAGTATCGTTTCTTAATTGGGCAACCGCAAAGCAAATCTTAGAGACTTCGAAAAAATACGAAGTTCACTCCACGGGAAAATCTAAATTTGACTGCTCAATTTGTGGACTACAATAAACAGCCAATTAATATACTGGGCGCAATCACTACAACCATCCGTTCGGCAGGGTGGGAAGTAGTGGGAGCATCGTTCTTGATCACAGAAAGACGCACGAGATGTATATTGGGGCTGGATTTACAGAGCAAAGTGGGGATTCACACAACACAGAAGTTGGCACCCAAAGACAAGACGAGGTTTGATGTACTACTGTGCGAACAGTCAGAAGATTGGAAAAATAAATTTAATAGTACAGGGGTGTTCGAAGAATCGTCAGGGGTGTTCGAAGGATCATGTTGTCAGTACAAAGTTCAAGTATCCACTTTGTCCCTTACAAGAAAAAGGGAGGCGAATTCCTATACACATACAGGAGAAGGTGTATGAGGAAATAAAAAAACTGTTAAAAGAAGGGCATATAAAACGTCTGGACAAATGTACTAGTGATTGTTTTATAGCGCCTATTGTAATAACAGTGAAAGAAGATGATTCCATAAAATTGGCCCTAGATGCAAAACCCATAAACTGACAGTTACTCAAAAATAAATATCAAATGCCTAATGTTGATAAATTACTGGATGGAGTCAGCCAAATAATTACAGCAAATACAAACGGCACGCTGTATGTCTCAGTACTAGATTTGAAGTACGCGTACAGTCAACTCAAACTAACTGCAGAGACAGCTAAACAATGTAATTTTAACATCATAGGAGGAAACTACTGAAACATACAGATTTTTGACCGGATTCTATGGCCTGGCAGACATGCCGGCGGAGTTTCAAAAGGCTATGGATAGAACGTTAAATCATGCCGAAAATACTTTCTGTTTCCTGGATGACATACTCATTGTGTCTAAGGGAAGTGCAGAAGAACATTAAAAAATGATTATGAACGTACTGGAAAAGTTAGACAAAGAAAACTTGGCACTAAAATTATCGAAAGGTGAATTCTTTCAGAATGAGGTAAATTGGCTGGGTCATAAGTTATCGCTGGACGGTTTTTCACCAAAAATAACAAAAACGGAAGCGATATTGAAGCTTAGTCCGCCAAGTTCTTTGAAACAACTCAGGTCATTTCTGGGTACCATAAATCATTTAGCTAAATTCATACCCAACGCATTTAATTCGACTGATAAACTGAGACTTCTCTTGCGAGAAGAGAATGAGAAGGAAAAACTCAAAAACGTGAAAATCCAGGTTAAAAAATTCGAATGGGAGGAAAAACATTCGGAGATTTCGAATCGATAAAAAGCAGTGGTTGCGGACATAACCAACATTCACTATTACGATCCTAAGTTGGCTACTAGGGTAAAATGTGATGCCAGCCACAGTGGGCTAGGTGCATCGTTGGAACAACAAAAAGTGGAGGGGGAGTGGATACCGATCGCATTCGCGTCGAGATATTTAAACACACAAGAAAAAAATACTCCACAAATGAGTTGGAACTGCTTGCAGTAGTATGGTCGGTTGACCGATTTAAACACTATTTGCTATGTTAACCAGATGGGTAGACAGACTATTACCCTATCAATTTAAGGTTAATCATATAGCAGGGAAAGATATGGGGATAGTAGATTATTTGTCTAGAGACCCGAAGGGTGAACCGTGGCCGGAATCAGTATTGGATGAAAAATTTGTAGTCACATCGATTGAAAGCTTTCATAAAGCTCTCGACTGTTTACACAGTCGACTGAGTGATCACGATAGACTCGACCAGAACGAAAACGTTCAAGAATATTCTAAAATTGATCAAAATGTATCAAATCAGAATATGTCATCCAACAGTTGCTATGGCAACCAAAATGGTTTAAAATGGACAAGGCACGACCGGAATAAAAAAAAACGAATTCGCGTTCGTTGCAATGAGAAATGTGCAAAAATTCAAAATTCAACTCAAAAATCAGTTTATCTCAAAATTGTCAGCGAATACAGTCGGTTGAATCACTTAAATTGAATAAAAATTTAGCAAATTGCAAATATACAGAAATGAACCCAGGAGAAACAACGAAGACAGGAAAAGGAAAGAAGATGGTCAGGAGACAGGATCGGAATGATACCTTGAGGGAAGAAGTAACGGAAATGACATTTCAACGAACTAGAACGATACAGCGGACCCCGAATAGATCAGATTCAGAAAATTCGGACGCAGAATCAATACCACAGATGGAATGGCATTCAATGAATAGACAAATCTGGACAAGCACTGCAAACAACGGTCAGTCAACATCAACTGCTGAAACAGCCCACCCATCGATAGTCTCGTTTTGGGAACTCATGGGATCGGAGAGAAGTGATGACCGCAGATCAGTAATAGAATTAGAAGCTGATTCGTTAATGCAAAGCCCGAAATCACCGAGGCAGAATACATCAGGAGATGAAACGAAAACAGGACAAAATGTTGAAGTGAAATTAACTGTAGACAGCATTGACGATAGGGAGTATGGTTTAGAGGTTAGCGTGGTCACGCCGCAACAGACAAAAAAGGGTTAGCCACAGATCCAGGAAACACAAACATCAACTAGCGTAGCAAGCAAATGGTGAGAATGGCCCGTTATCGCTCACAAAATTATTTGATAAAAGTCTACTGGCGGAATTTGTATCAGAAGATACTTGGATGGATCGGCTAAGGCGAGTGGTTGAGCGGAACGACAGACAAGGATTCGAGATGATGGGTCCCTACACCAACCCGCTCTGGCATCAAATGTCTGTAATAGATGACCGCCTCCTAGTGGATAATCGCTAAGCAGTACCAGAGAAGTTGAGACAAGCTGTGCTTCGTCGACTTCACCAAGGACATCCCGGACAAGAAGCGATGCTAGAGGTTTCCAACTACTTATGGTGGCCACATATGCATAAAGACATAGTTAACATGGCCGAAGAGTGTAGAAGTTGCACTCGTTACGGTAAGAAAGTTGAATATATAATCCCAAAATATTCGGCAAAACCACTTCCACTGTTGACACAGCCGGGACAAGAATTGCAATTAGACTATGCAGGCCCACTCGAAGATCATAAGGGAAAGCAGATATATTTATTGGTTGCTATTGACAGATAGTCTAAGTTTCCATCAGTTAAGGTCACGGGGGAAAATCAACAAAAAAATTTCTGCGTACCTACATTGACACACATGGGATACCAGAATCGATCAAAACGGATAAGTTTTCAGGATTTAAAGGAAAAGCAATGAAAAAACTTTGCACAGAAAATAATATTTCTCAAAACTTCTGTCCAGTCGGTGATCATCGAGGATGTGGCTTGGTCGAACGCACAATACAAACTATTAAACGACGATTGGGTGTAATGCTTCTCGATGAAAATGTACAGTCGATTAAACTGTGTCTGAGCACAATAATTAGGGATTTAAGATAGAAAAAATAGAAAACGATCAAATTGTCACCATTTGAGGCGCATTTCGGTCGATTGCCAAAAACGGAATTTAAAATTGTAAGAGATAAATTTCTTAATGATTCTGATCATTTAGATAAAGAACATTTGGAAAGATCGGCGTTAACAGCTTCGCAGTTGAAGAGACGCATTGATCAATCGAGAGACAATGTCAAAATTATCCGAAAAGGTCAAAATAGTCGGAACGTCAGCCCACTATTTTTGCGTAATACTACGGCAGCTAAAGAAAGAGCCCGAGCAAATGAACTGAAGCAGCTACTAGAGGCCAATGCGCGATGGAATGCCACTCGAAGAGACATTCCAGACAGCGAGTTACGAAGAGTCGTAGACGAGACCAGCACGATAAATCCCGAACTGAGAAAAGAACTATTATATTCATGGGAGCGAGGATGTATTGAGGATAAAAAACCTACAGTGACTGACAATTTGTCGGGTAGCTTCCTTCGCAAACACGAACAGAGAAAAAGTGAAAAAGCCCTAACAATACCTCTAAAAGGGAAAGTTGTATCGGAGACACCATCGACTGTAAAAACGGCTGCTGGTGCAGTTTATCGGAAGAGCGACATAGCGAGATCAAAACTGCCTGTACAGTCCAGAATAGAAGGTTCGGAGAAAAAGAGAAGCCCAACAGGGGAAGAACCAAGAAGTAAACAACAAAAGACAGTAACACAGGATGAAGACGGTGACAGTGAGTCGGCCGAAGAACATGACGTAAAAGATCAGGGGCCAAGAGACCAGGAAATAGAAGATAGTTGGTTGGTGGAAAAGTTTCAAAGTTTGCCTAGCATAGCAACGTCGAAAGATACAAAGACGGGCGGGGGCATTAACCTAGGAGGGAAAAGGAATAAGCCAAATCGAGTGGGACCGTTCGTACATAACCCGAGAAGCTATCAGAGCAAGTCCACGACGCAAGAACCGAGGAATGGGAGGCACTCACAAATCAGGTCTTGACCAGAGGGGTGCAAAAAGAAGCGGAAAAATTACTAACTCAACAAGCAGGACCAGCTGATACTTGTCCCCCACCAGGGTTTTTTGACGAGTCAGACAAAGAAGAGGAGGAAACGACAGTTAGGAGGAGTAATAGGCAAACGTAGAACCAGGGGCCAAAGAGATTTGGTAGCCCAGGGTCCCTACACCAACCCGCTCTGGCATCAAATGTCTGTAATAGATGACCGCCTCCTAGTGGATAATCGCTAAGCAGTACCAGAGAAGTTGAGACAAGCTGTGCTTCGTCGACTTCACCAAGGACATCCCAGACAAGAAGCGATGCTAGAGGTTTCCAACTACTTATGGTGGCCACATATGCATAAAGACATAGTTAACATGGCCGAAGAGTGTAGAAGTTGCCCTGGTTACGGTAAGAAAGTTAAATATATAATCCCAAAAAATTCGGCAAAACCACTTCCACTGTTGACACAGCCGGGACAAGAATTGCAATTAGACTATGCAGGCCCACTCGAAGATCATAAGGGAAAGCAGATAAATTTATTGGTTGCTATTGACAGATACTCTAAGTTTCCATCAGTTAAGGTCACGGGGGAAAATCAACAATAAAATTTCTGCGTACCTACATTGACACACATAGGATACCAGAATCGATCAAAACGGATAAGTTTTCAGGATTTAAAGGAAAAGCAATGAAAAAACTTTGCACAGAAAATAATATTTCTCAAAACTTCTGTCCAGTCGGTGATCATCGAGGATGTGGCTTGGTCGAACGCACAATACAAACTATTAAACGACGATTGGGTGTAATGCTTCTCGATGAAAATGTACAGTCGATTAAACTGTGTCTGAGCACAATAATTAGGGATTTAAGATAGAAAAAATAGAAAACGATCAAATTGTCACCATTTGAGGCGCATTTCGGTCGATTGCCAAAAACGGAATTTAAAATTGTAAGAGATAAATTTCTTAATGATTCTGATCATTTAGATAAAGAACATTTGGAAAGATCGGCGTTAACAGATCGCAGTTGAAGAGACGCATTGATCAATCGAGAGACAATGTCAAAATTATCCAAAAAGGTCAAAATAGTCGGAACGTCAGCCCACTATTTTTGCGTAATACTACGGCAGCTAAAGAAAGAGCCCGAGCAAATGAACTGAAGCAGCTACTAGAGGCCAATGCGCGATGGAATGCCACTCGAAGAGACATTCCAGACAGCAAGTTACGAAGAGTCGTAGACGAGACCAGCACGATAAATCCCGAACTGAGAAAAGAACTATTATATTCATGGGAGCGAGGATGTATTGAGGATAAAAAACCTACAGTTACTGACAATTTGTCGGGTAGGTTCCTTCGCAAACACGAACAGAGAAAAAGTGAAAAAGCCCTAACAATACCTCTAAAAGGGAAAGTTGTATCGGAGACACCATCGACTGTAAAAACGGCTGCTGGTGCAGTTTATCGGAAGAGCGACATAGCGAGATCAAAACTGCCTGTACAGTCCAGAATAGAAGGTTCGGAGAAAAAGAGAAGCCCAACAGGGGAAGAACCAAGAAGTAAACAACAAAAGACAGTAACACAGGATGAAGACGGTGACAGTGAGTCGGCCGAAGAACATGACGTAAAAGATCAGGGGCCAAGAGACCAGGAAATAGAAGATAGTTGGTTGGTGGAAAAGTTTCAAAATTTGCCTAGCATAGCAACGTCGAAAGATACAAAGACGGGCGGGGGCATTAACCTAGGAGGGAAAAGGAATAAGCCAAATCGAGCGGGACCGTTCGTACATAACCCGAGAAGCTATCAGAGCAAGTCCACGACGCAAGAACCGAGGAATGGGAGGCACTCACAAATCAGGTCTTGACCAGAGGGGTGCAAAAAGAAGCGGAAAAATTACTAACTCAACAAGCAGGACCAGCTGATACTTGTCCCCCACCAGGGTTTTTTGACGAGTCAGACAAAGAAGAGGAGGAAACGACAGTTAGGAGGAGTAATAGGCAAACGTAGAACCAGGGGCCAAAGAGATTTGGTAGCCCAGTATCCCATTCGGTCAAACTTATTAGTTGTGAGGACGACGTCACGGAGATAAATTTGGCAGCACTAGAAGCGAACGAGATTAGCGAATTTAAATCTCAACAACAAAGAAACAACGCCTGAAAACAACACGTTCAACCTATTAGAGAGACACCTATTCAAACGGAAATTTGGGGCTACATCATTGGACGATTCTGGGTCGTGGAACGCTGCGAGAAACAAAACGGAAGTAAAGAAAAATAACAAAGGAAACTGAGTCAAACACTAAACAACTTAGTAAACTGAGATACAAACTCATATATTGATCATAAAATTTTATAAGGTATTATATAAAATTTTGTTGTCCTCAGGGGAATGTGGTACTGGGTAGTACTGTTGCCACAGTAACTTTGGAGAATAAGTGGTATTAATATTCTGTTATGTATTGTTATTATTATTCAAGGCCATTTATGCAGGCCGAACGCAACAGTCATTTGGACGTTTGCAATCTGAAGAGAGATATGAAAAGATAAACATGATCTCTAAACTAAAACCAAGTTTCACAAAGAGTTAAATTACAATTTTTTACTCTTCTGTTTTATTACTAACTAACACCCATAGCATAGGAACATCACAGGTCGAAAAAAAAGATAGCGTGGAAAACAGGCGGAGTACTTAATCTGAACTTACTCTCCAAAAACAATCCATATCAAACTCAAATATTTTGTTATATTGAAACAAGTTCTGCATAATTGTGTTTTTTGTTTCAGTTGCGCCGATGCTGGATTGTTTTAATATAGTTTTCTGTTACTCTACTTAGTTCAGAAAGTGAATTATTGCTATTTTGTTAGACTTTAAGAATTTGTCAGACAAAATCATCAAAACTAGTTCAGTTCATGCCATAGTTCATCAATTTTCTCCGCTGCGGACAAGATTTGCTTGGGATGGACCAGTAGCAACGCATTTTCTTGGCACAAAAATCTGGAAGAGCTTTTGGTTACGATAGTTTGGCGATACCAAAAATCGGTTGCAAGGTTCTGGTATTTTACAGAGATTATGTAAAATGGTGCAAACAATATCTAATCTGGACGCTATTGATATCACAAATTTTTTGTACCATGCAAACAATTCCGAAAATTTGCCGACAAAATTAAAGACGTTGAAAAACTGAAAAAGAAAGTATTAAATCTGTGTTTCAAGGATATAGGGTGAATGCCACTTCACAGAATTGGGGCGGGGATTTTCCTCAGTAAAAAAGGTAGTCTGCAAAAATTAAAAGTAGTCTGCAAAATATATTTTAACTTTTAAGCAACTGCAAGAAGCGAGTTGGATGCGAGGATGTGAAACATATTGGCATTTTTAAACAACTGCAAGATGCTTATTTTATGCGAAAATCTGAAATGTATTGGAACTTTTGAACAACTTTTGTTGCGAGTTGGATGCGACGACAAAAAACGTGCCCTGGCCTCTCAATTGTTGTTTTGTGCAAGTCATTCATGAGGAGTAGGTAAGATAGCAGGACGCATTCCTTTTTTTTTGCAATTGTGCAGTTGAAATTTGAGTTTTTTGAAGTTTTCGTAGATTGGAATTACACATCAATTTGAGTTTTTAAAAAGTTTGAGTAGATTGGAGTTATACATCAGTTTGAGTTTTTTTAAGTTTGAGTAGATTGGAGTTATACATCAACCAGGGCCCTAAATAAGTGCTGAATTGACTGGAGAACTGCATAAAAGCAATTAATAAAGGCATGACTTCAACCCGGACTTGTTGTCGATATCGTTTAAGCAGTGATTGGCTTACGACATGTCTACTTTTTGACCGCACTCCCGTAATTAGAGGCTCCTCTAGAGGAGTGTTGTGAATAATGTTCTAATGTAATTGATTTTCAGTATCGTTTACAATCGATCAAAACTGGATTATAATGTAACTTTTTTTAAAATCAATCAAATTTACTTTTTTCTACTATCATTGGATGTGATAAACCACTATCATTTTTTTCTAAATTAGTCTGAGGCTTTCAAACATTGTTCAGTATATTCAAATTTTGCCATTGCATACTTTGAACACACATTGCATTTGTTAAAACAATATTTATTTTCAAAATTATTTTCTTGTTTTCTTTTTTTCTCTTCACAGCTTTTCTTTTTTTATACATTTTTTATTTTTTTTTGTCGCTATTTATATATATTTGCCCTCTTTTATTACCCCACCTTTTCTGCACAATTTATATTACCAATCAGGTAAAAGGGCACTTTCATGTTATTTCATGTAATTTGAACATGATTATTCCAACTCGATAATGATATAAAAAAAGACCAAGCCGCCATCGTTCTGTTGCCCTTTCGCTGACTAAATCATAGCGTGTTAAATAATTACATTTAAATCATTTGCTCTGTGGTGCAAGAAAATACAGCTGAAAATACACAGCGTATGTATAGTTTTTGATTGCATTGCATATCGAATCAAAACTTAACGTGCTTTGATATGGCTATTAATGCAACTCCATCTGGAGTTTAACTGTCTTTGTATGCCCGGATTTGCATGAAAACACACCTGAATTCACAATTTTTTCTCTTACTATGACCAGAACAGCAAGATCTACCGATAATAAGCTATTTAGCAACAATTTTGAGAAGTTGGCTCTAAGTACAGAATCACACTCTGAATTCTTCGCTTGTATTCTATTCTAAAAGCAAGCAAAATTCTGATAAAACTTGCAGAAACAGGAGATTTTGGGGATTTTTTGAAAAATTTTGACCTGAAATATTTTGACCGCGTTTTTTTTCGGCGCGGGCTTTCCCTCAAAATTAGAATAATTTCGCGCCAAAGACGCCTTTAGAAAACCATTAAAAAAAGGTCGGTCAGCCAAAAATTTGTCTTAAAATATAGCCCCAAAGGGGGACTCTTTGGGTCGGCAGAGGATCGAATCCCTGAAATGAGGGCGCCCAATCCGCTACGGCTTGTATTACTAATTGAGACTGGAAGAAATTTTGCTACGCATTGCCCAAAATGTGATCGACAAAATTGAGTACTATCATCTTTAATTCAACACAAAACTGAAATTTTACAAATTACTTCCATTTGTTTTTGGTCATGAAAATAAAACTCGTCCAACAAAATATAAAGCTCAAATTACCTCACATACGATCAACTTAATTCATAATTATTTAACAATATACAAGTGAATGTCCGTGTAAGTAAATCTAAATCTCTGTTTAGTTTTCAATTGAAGCTCGTATAAAAGAATTCACAGTTTTCAATCGGACTCTAATGACCATCCAAGGCGTCCAGGTATTGCTGTTCGAACATTTTCGGGAACAGGAAATGGCGGATCGGCATGTAAGCTCCAAGGGCAACTGGAAACACCATTTTCAGGTAGGAAAGGGGGGCAAACCCGAGACCACATAGGATTAACAGTTGCAGGACCTGTAGAAAGGTGAACAGGTGAATCTTCTTTTGTGTCACGTGTCTGACATAATGGTTTGGGGGGTAGGCGCTTTGCTCCGTCACCCACAACAGCAGACGCTCAAAAAACTCATTTCCAAGAAGAGACACCGCCGCAACGTACAACAACACGCCATCCAAGACCGGTACAGGGATGTATTCGATAGGAGTTGGAAACATGTAAATCGAGACTCCGATTAATGCATTGGCCAGAATTGAAGTCAGTCTCGTCTCGTGAACTTTCACGACAACGTCTGTCATAACACCCTGTTGCATACGCTCTTCGAACTCCGCGAGCGCACGCACGTGCAGCGGGGAGTGAGGCAAGGCACCGTGGATCCAGGGAAGTGCAAAAATCGACAGCACTGCATTGATGACAGCCAGAACCAGAAGGTCCAAATGATACGCTGGTCCCTTTTTGAGGTTGTTTTTGGGGTTGTTCACGAAAGATGCGGATATGTTTTGATCAATGAAGAAAAGAATAGAAAGACAGAATCCCATGGCGACTGCCACCAGCCATCCACCGATGCTCAGTCCAGCGATGTCTGGGATCTCGAAGTACTTCTCACTTTCATCGTCACTTTCAATAGTAGGCGAGTTGATATCTTTTGCGCAATAGCTGCCGATGAATGAGAAAATGAGAACAGCACCATGGTAGCGCGTAGTCTGCAAGAAGTACTCGTTTGGTCGAGTCCAGATAAGGACTCTTGGTGAAGTTGAAGAGAGTGACTCCCAGCCACAGGGTTCCCAACATCAGCAGCAACGCCAGAAGAAATATTTCCTGAACAGAAAAATTAATAAATCCGAAGAATTTTAAATTATTATTCCGACTACTTCACAAACTTCTGCCTCACTTAAAAGTACCTAAGTGAAACTCGTAGGTTTCAAGCGCGGTATTTTATAAAACCCAATTGAAGGTGAATCGGTTACAGACTAATTTCCGTTTTCAGACTAAATGACACGAAAATTACAAATGACACGTTGAGACTGAACTCTCAATTTAATTTTGCTCTAATTTATACAATATTTTATCAAATTACAACTCAATTTTAATTTTTTTTCAAATAATTCGACTGTTTGTTACTTTAGTGAAAAAAACAGAATCTTGGGGAAACAAAGATACAGTTTAAAATTTTTTTTTCTGATTTCTTGATTTCAATTATTGTGGCCGAAACATTCTGAGCTACTTGCACAGCTACCGCCAATCCTTTTTTGACGTCAATTTTCACCAACTTCGGTGCGTTGCCAAAAAAGGCATTTCAGTGAATAAAGTTAATGGACAGAAAATGCCGCTTAAGTGTAACTTTCATAAATTTTGCCATTTTATTTGGAGAACTGGGTTTACGTAATTGTTTTTCCTCGAAGCCTTTCGATCTGAAATCATAAACAATCATCAAAATTTAGCCCCAGACAACTTTATTTGCCAAATGATATAATTCACATAAATGGTACATTAAATCTTGGATTATCATACTATCATTGGATCATAAATAGTCAAAAACATGCTGTTTTCTGCCGCAATCTGTCAAATGGAATTTGGTTCAGGCCATTCTGGATTATTTTAGCGTTAAGTTTAAATCAAGAGCCAAGTGTAACTTCTCCCAAAAGCAAACAACAGCAATATTCGAGTCAGCAAGTTATATTGGTGTTAATTTCATGATAGATCAAACTCGAATTACAAGAAATTTCTCGACTGTTAGCAACAGTAGGAAAGCTTGAAAAAGATCATTTGGGTTATCTACAAATTCGTTATCGATTTCAACTTCCAGCTTCACAGATCTTTCTTCAACTGAGTTTCCCGGCGGTCAAGTAGCGCCTTTCTTTCACTAGATATAGCCCGAAGGTAAATCCCTAAGCTTCAAAATTCCTCTTTTAATTATGAGACTATAGTATGAGTTAGTTGTGATAAATTGAAGTTTTCCTCTAACATTACCATAGAAGCCTATCGGAGATTATAAATTATTCATCAAAGCAGAAAAGCTACTTAACGGCCTACAGATACAAAATGATACAAAAACTCCAAACCATAATAAGGATAGGATATCCACAGTAAATACTATTAGTTACTGGCGCTGATTTTTTTAAAATTAAATCACACTCTTCAATTCCAAACCAATGACAGAGCTTTTGATTCATTTTGATATAAGCTGGATTCTTATTTCATCTTTTCAGAAAGTCAATAAAAAAAAACAAAAGGCACGTTTACTTATTTTTTTTTAAAAAAACCATTGAATTGAAAAGCTTTACTATCATCTAAAGCTTATTTCAAACAAAAAAGTATTAAAAACAGCAAAATACCTTTTTGAGTAATTTTTTCTCCTCTTTTTGGGAAGGAACAAACAATAAAATTACTCTTCAAGTCCTTTGTTAGACTTTCAGCACTAAGGGGACAGAAATACACCTACGCCATTTCAGACTAAATTAAAAATTCTCTTGTTTTATTTTATAAGTGAACAATTTATAATTAAATTTTTGACCTGTTATTAGCCTTAGTCAAGAATCAGAAAACTTTTTCCTCGCGTTTCAATCAGGTAGGGTTTACTATTTAATTGCACTATTTAATTGTACTATTTATTTGAATAATTGCGGACTTAAACACTAGACCAGGCTGCTCTCCGAGTAGCACATAATAAAAAAAGAATCCCGTTTACGATACGTTATGGAGGGTTTTGAGCAGAAAATAGCGTTCTTGGCGCGCGATTTTACATTAAAATTACTAGCGTTTAACGCACCTTCGGTGCTTCGAAATTTTTCGGCAACTCATGAAAAACCGCTTATATTGGAAACAACATCTGCAAACTTTTAGTGTACTCTGACTGCATCCAATTACAGGGTTGGTAATTTCGAACTTTTAAATTTAACTTAATGGGCCTCTCGAGAAATTTGGAGGCCAGATTTGCAACCGCTGAGAGTCACTGAGAGCACCCTACTATAGGGTTAGGAATCCAAAACTTTGTGAATTTTTTAACACCTAAGTTTCCCGAAAAAAAATTGAAAAAACATCTTATCCCGGAAACTAAAAGGATTTGAGCATTCATATCAAAAGGCAGGATTTGAGACGCCTGGGTGTACACTGACAATAAGGTTAGTAGTTTCAAATTTTTTGAATTTCGTTGTAGATAAGTTCTTTGAGAATTTTTGAAAAAATCAAAAAACGTCACATCTCGGAAACTAAAAGCATTTGAGCAGTCTCGTTTAGCAATCGCATGTGGCAAGATTTGCAACTCTTTAGAAACCCTGACAACACCGAACTATAGCGTTGGGAATTTCAAATTTTGAAAAATAATTAATTTACACTTTCTAAAAATTTTGAAAAAAATCACAAAAAACGTCACGTCTTGAAAACTACAAAGAATTGAGCAGTCATATTTGGAGGCAAGAGTCGCAATCCTTGAAAGTACTCTGACAGGACCTAAATACAGCGTTGGGAATTTAAGATTTTTAAAGAATAATAATAAATTAAGTTTTCTGAAAATGTTTGAAAAAATCACAAAAACGTCATATCTCGAAAACTACAAAGAATTGAGCAGTCATACTTGGAGGCAAGATTCGCAATCTTTGAGAGTACTCTGACAGGACCTAAATACAGTGCCGGGAATTTCAGATTTTTAAAAACCAATAATATTTCAAGTTTTCTGAAAAATTTTGAAAAAATCACAAAAAACGTCATATCTCGAAAACTACAAGGATTTGAACAGTCATATTTGGAGGCAAGATTTGTAACTCCTTAGAGTACTCTGACAGCACCCAACTACAGGGTTGGGAACTTCAAGTTTTTTAAATTATTTTGTTATTTGAATTTTCCGAAAAATTTTGAAAAAATCTCAAAAATCGTCTTATCTCTTAAACTAAAATGATTCGGGCATTCAAAATTGGAGGCCAAACTCGAAACCCCTAATTCGATATTGGGCTGCTTAATTTAAACTCGTTAAAATAACCACTAAAATCAAATTGGAAAACCGAAAAAAATTTCTTAACCATTGCAATATACGATATAGCTTAAACATGCAAAAATAATACGTTGAAAAAGCTTAAACATGGCGAGATAGTGAAGCCCGCATTTAAATATATAATAGATAGATTACATTTTAGCGCCGAAGTCGCCTTAAATAATTTTCTACAGGTCGACTCTTAGTGTGATCAGGGGGTTGAAAACCTGAAAGGAGGGGTCACCGCCTACCCCTTTGACGACCATATTTAAATAAAGTTTCGTAATATTTTGAATTGTTTCTACCCCAACATCCAATCTCAAATAGTAAGCATTGTAATTTTATTCGTATATGGACTTAATATGACCAATTATCTTGCGTATTTGCAAGTAATTATACAAACTCCCCTCAAAAATGGCTAGTTTGAAAGCCAACAATAGTCTGAAAAATAACACCCCACCATGCACAAAAGAGACTGCTCAAATAAAAAAGACAAATCCCTAGATGTTTCGATTGCTTTTGAATGGGTCTCAAATAAGTTTTGAAACTATATTTATTAGGGAACATTTATTAAATTTTTTCTTCATTTTATCACCCCCCCCCCCCCCCTTATATACTATGTAAGATACATAAGGTGTGCTTAGCGTCTCTTATAGTTTTGAAAGACTAAATTGCTGGCCTCAATTCAATTTGGAACACCTTAATTTGCCGCTTGCGCGTGTTAAAAGAACGCATTATATCTCGCATTAATTAGCCCAAATTAGCTATTATCAAACCCCCATAACTTAACAAAAAATGATCACAGGTGAAATATATTTTTTAAATTGACCTGACAAGAACATTTCTCAGATGATTTGAAAAACATCCGTCAAAAATGCTTAGTAAAGAAGTCGAAAATTGACTAAAAAATCCAAGCATGTCCTTTTCCTTGGATCATCTCCTCCTCCAGTAGCCATTAGCAAATAATACGTGTTCAAATTTAAGTCGTTTCTAAACAGTTATGTTGTTTTTAACAAAAGATATGAGTTGAATTTGAAACAAAATCAAAAGTCAAACCTCGAAAAATCAAATTTGAGCTTTAAAAAAATCACGGCCTCTATAAAAGTCTTCACTAGATTCATCGACTCTTAAAAAATACACCTCAAGCTGATATATTTTGCTAATTTCTTCGAAATAAACTGGAACGAACAAAAGCAAAGAGGAGAAACATCGGGGTATTTTTTTCTAAGATTAACTTTCGTCGATAATCTTTTTTAAAACAGCCAAAATTTTTTCCCTTTTGCGCAATGACCTAAACCATATATGGCAAAAAAAACAATTGAAAATCGTATGCAAACTTAAATAGAAACATCATCACGGGTTAGAAAAAGTTTATTTCAGCGCCATCAAAATTGTGTTGTCCATTTCACCGAATAATGTGAAATTTTGACAGGAAATCGGAAAGATTCAGACCATTTTTTCTCGACACTGATTTTTATTTGAATCTGAATCACGCTTGAAAGGGCTTCAATATAATACTAGACTTGATCCCTTACAAGCTTTTTTTGAGGTAGTCAAAACTTAGGTTCAAAAATACACCCTATGGCATAATTCCTTCCCTCCCTTCAAATCGTGAAGTGGTCGGAACAAAAACAACAACAATATTGCAATATTTTCCCAAACAACTGACGCAACAAAATCGACAGTTTTGGGCTCTCTTTGATATTTTTTGAAGTTGGCAAATATAAGTTATAGCCGATCTTTTAGGACATAAGAATCCTTGCTTTTCCCTTGAGCATCTGCAATTTAATTTAAAAAATGAGCCACTCTGTGAATAACGGAAAGAGAGCTGACATCAAACAAAAGAAGTTTGCACAGCTAATACATTCCCAGTCTGTTTTTACTTTCCTCTGTTGCTCCTCATTTTAAACTTCAACTCAATTGCAATTTAATGGCTCATCGATTTATTTTATAAGGTAAAGTATAAAGATAAAATGTGTTGAAATTAAACTGAAATAAAATTAAACTGAAAAGCTATTTTTCTATGCAACTAACCGTTACTTTAACTCAAGCTAATAACTTTTGAAAGTGAAATACTAGTGAAGCCCAATCCCCACCCTAACTGTCTCCTTCTCCCCTCCAACTACCCCCCCCCCCCTAACAGTAACATGTTTGCCCAAAAACTTCATGAAAGTTTCGATAAAAGTGCTAGTTTGGTTCCGGGATTTTTTTGTTGAAAACTTAAGGTGCGTCTTCGCTTTTCATCAAGATAAAGAGCGCAGCAAAAAATATTGTCGAGACGTTTATCAGAAGCTCAATTTCTATTTAAAGAAGCAAAATGATCATATTGTACTTGATCCAAACACAAGGTTCACACTTGTTTTCACCCCCCCCCCCCCCCCCCCCCCAAATCAGACCAAATTGACTAATCTGACCAAATCGGAAAAATGAAAAGACATCAGTTTTTTACCTCGGGAGATAGGATAAAAAATTCATTAATTAGTAATCTTTTCAGAGACTCCGTTGAGTAAAGCTAAAGCTCCCTCGTGCAACTAAGACAAATACGCTTATCTGTAGTTGATTCAACTCTAATCAAACAGATCTTCTAGCAATTTGGTCGAGTTTTCCCTACTGTCAAAATTCCTCCCAGCCTCTTTCTTTGTTAAAGATAAAACTCATTCAACCCATAATTGAAAAGGTGAAACAAAAAACAAAGAAAAGACAGGGTGCTTCTTAATTTCTCGCTATTTTCAGCCGCAGGATTCAAGAATAATTTCAATTTACAGAAAAAAAAACAAGAAACAAACTCAATCTACCAAGTTAATCACGGATTAAGTGAATTGAAATTGAAAAATCAAAATACTGTGGAATTGAAATAAATTTCAGGAAGGTCGATACAAAAGCTGATTACTTCTAAATTTTCAAGAAACGCCACATATTAGATTCAATTTCATACTTTCAGTTTTTAAATTAAATTTCATACTTCCCTAACCGTAAGTAAACTTCCACGTGCTTAGGAAGCAAAAAAAACACTGTCATAAATTTTGAATTTGCACTTCAACTTCGACATTTCGAGACATTTCTGCAGGCTTAAAGGTCATTAATTCTTCACCATTAAAGGCCACATTTCCATTAGAACATGAAGACATATGTCAACAATTTGTTCATTTTTAGACACTCCTAGTCGCGTTCATTTGACATGCTTATTCAGAAATTTTCATCTTCAGGGGTGATAAATTTTGGTAGAAAAGAAGGTTGCTAATTATCTCCGTCCAGTTTTCCTTGTTTGTGATTTATTGGTGACAAGAGCTTTTCAATTACTTTTCGACATGGCACAAAATTTAACTTGATTACATTCCGAGTATTTGCGGCATGTTACTACTAGTCCCAAAGGTAATTTAAGTCAGATACAGCAAGCTCTTAAAATTTTTTCATTACGTTTCCAAAAAATGTCTCCTACTTTTTTCTTACATCATATATTTTTTTATTGTTTTTACGATACGATAAGCCAAAATGAAAGGCCAAACGAAAAAATCACTACAGTAATGAACTGTACCTCAGCTGTTTAACTACCATAAATAACGGGGTTTATTATTTGGTTCAGCGTTTCTACTGTTCTTAGTCAGCAATCAATTATAAATCAGTACAATTAATTTACGAGTCCTACAAATTGGACATCTGGCATCACCGAATTAGCCACAGGAATTCTTTGACGTCGAAAAATTTAGCAAAAAAAAACAACCTTTTTTGCAAGCTCTCCTTCATAAAAATTAGTATTTATTTATCACTGAAGGCGTGACCAGAAAATATTTCGGATATGTAACACAAAAAATATGGGAGCGAAGCAAATTTGCAAAAATTAGTTCACTATTGAATTAAAGTTTAGATTTTCTGTTGTCTCGCCAGGTAAAACCGCTGCTGCTGCGTCATAAACAAACATATCTTCTCCCTTAACGGTCTGAAAAAAGTTGATCAAATACATTCCTTTGTCAGAAACGATTTTAAACACCTCAGAAAATTGAAGATTCACTACAAACAAAGCACTGATTGTAAATGTCACTGGTGTATATTTAATTTCAACATAACCATAGTTGGCTCTTTTCCAGTTCCCCCCTTTGATTTTTTCGGAAATTTGATATATGAAAACTTATTAAAAAGACTTTTCATGTTATAAACTGCATTTAAACGTGTCAGCGTGAACAGGTGAACAATATTTCACATTTATTACATGCAAAATGCCGTGTGAACAATTTTTGAAAGGCTTTATTTTGAAATTTTACAAGGGGTGGGAAACTGGAAAAAATCCCCACAGTTTTCCGACTGATCAACCTAAATATTTTTTCCGGTAATGTCGGGATTTCTTTTATGCATAATTTCCAGCTATAATCTCATTGCTTTATGTATATGCGAGATCAAATATTGATACATCATTAATTTTATCAGATTTGAAATTATAAACGTCTACGTGGCTAGCATTTGAGATATAAACTTCCTCGCCCCTATAGTAATTTAACTTCAGAAATAACGACACCTTTGAGAAAATATTTCGTTTCTTATCACGTACGTCATATTCAAATTACAGTTCGAAAATGCAAATCAAGTTGCAATAAAACTAGGATTTATAGTGGGAAGGAACTATAGATTGAGCTGAATATTACCCCAAATTTAACTATTCATGAAAAAAATTAAACGAGATTAAATTAAATAGATACTTAGGCCGTTAGGTTGATGATTCGTTATTATTGCTATTCTTGCGACGTGACAATTTGCAATAGGTGACGATTCGTAACTTTTATTTGGGCAACAATTCAAAAAAAAAACAATTATTAAAACATAGTTGTAGTTAACAGTCGGGCCGAGTAAAAGCGCAAGTGAGTTGTTATGAATCAGCGCCCGTTGCTCCGACTTTCGTAACGAAAGCAACGGAATAATTAAGCTCGGGGTGGTTTTTTCTTCAGACAAATTTTGACTTTTTAACTAGCCAATTTTGACAGATTTTTTTTTTCAGTTATATAATTCAAAATGTATTGTTGTCCTGAGCTGAAATTGGAAAAGATATTTCACCTGTGAGCATTTTTCGTAAATTTATGGGGGTTTAAAGACTGCGACGTTGGCCAATTTGTCACGATTAAACGCGCGATATATTTCGCGCTATTAACGCGTAAGCGGAGACTTAAGCCATCTTGGAAATCGTTCCAAATTGGTTGAAGGAAGCTTATTTGCCATAACTGATTTGTTACTAGGAGCGAAATTGATCACTTTGTGCTTTATATGGCGTGTGGGGGATGATTTCACAAAAAACCTCAATTTTTTTTTTAAATTCATTTTATTTAATTACCTTTAATTTCGCTGCTATCAATGTTATCACTGCTCCATAGACTCTAAAAGGCAGTCGGGACGTTCTAGGCTTCACCCTGATACAAGCAGTATAGTTATGATTTGTTGGTTATTATGAATAGCCGCTTATAGACAAAAGATAACCGACAGACAGTTGGAAAAGAGTCAATGAACGCAAGTAAAACAAAAAAATTCTGATTTATTTATTGAAAAAATCTCTTCTATCGAATTTAAAAAAAGATGCCCTTAAAGCTCTTTGAATTTCTAGAACAATTTATCACTGGCACTTTCTTAATGAAATTAATCCAATTTGAGAAAAATGGATCGAGAAGAAAAATTTTTATTTTGCTGGGAGATCTGAATTTTAAATTCCACTTTAAAAATTACAATTTGTTCACGTTTTTCGTGACCTTTACACTTTTGCTGTTCGATAGTGCCTTACGTTTAACAAAAGAAGAGAACTGAAATTAATGATAAATCAAAATTCAAACCGCGAAAAACTAAATTGGATCCTGAACAAATTTTTCCTAAAAAAACGAAAAAAAAACATCATCACGAACTAAATAAGAGTCTGAAGTTAGATTCATCGACTCTTAAATACAATATTTACGATGAAAAAGACCTACATACGAGATGCTTAGCTCACTAAAGCAAACTGCTTTTCTTCCCCTTTTAAAGAGCTGCAGGTAGAAACCCGTGGTTTTTTCCAGGTTAGAAATTTTGATAGAAAACAGGTAGGCATCATAGTGGGCCTCGAACTAACGACCTTTCGACTGATACGCTGATATTTTAGCAGCCACTTTCCTATCAATCCACATGTTATCAATAAATCAACTTCGGTTACCAACTGCCTCATTCCCTGTAGCTATTTTCGTTGCTTGAAGGAGGCGATATTTATCAATAAAGAAACATAGACAAAAATCTAATAGATTCAAGTGACTCAAGTAAACCAAAAAAGATTGACTTTTCGAATTTCAAAGACAACTATACATACCGCGGAAGCTCTTTGTTCTTTAGAATATTTTACAATTGACTCTTTTCTGCGTAGAACAAGCCCCTACAGAAAACAGCGAATAGACAGTTAGAAAAGATTCAATGAACGCAAGAGAACAGAAAAAAATTCTGATTTGTTTTTTTTTGGAAAAACTCCGAGTTTCGGTTTTCAAAAAAAGTTTATATCACTTCGCTCATTAACACTCACAAAACGTATAAATGCACGTAGAATTTATTTTGAGGAGCAACATTGTTACTTCGTCAAAAAATGAATACATCGTTTGATAGCCTTCCTTCGCAAAAACGCTAAATTTAATTTCTCGAAATAGTTTTATTCATAAATTTTTCTTTTCTGCTACCTATTCCAAACTTTAAATTTGGCAGCTCAGGATTACTAAGAAATTCATTTACAGACTGATTATTATGGTTCCCAATTTCGAGGAAATTGAAGCACATATATACTCCGTCGATTTTCTGGGTGGCAGAAACAAAATCGTTGATGAATTTATTGTCTCACTGGACGAGTTTATCATCGTACGCAGGAAAATAAACCGCACTTTAAAAAAAACAATTCAAGACAGGTTAATCATTGAGAATAATTCCTAAATGATATCCAAAAGCATTTAAAATAATTTGCAAATTAATAATTTGTTCGGGATATAAAAAATTTGGAAAATTTCGGGGTTCAAAATTTCATGCTGATTTAAGAGAAGATTTTCTTTGATATCATCCTACATAACACCTCAAAAGGCAAAAGTTCTTTGTTTTCAGGAAATGTAAGAAACAACAATTCCCTTCAACTTGCCATCATATTTGTGAAGCTGATTTTACCAATACATTATTGGTGAATCCAATACGTCAGGTAGAGAAAAAATCAATTGATTCAAAAATAGAGATTTATCTTTTATTTATCCCATTGCTAAGCCCAGTCCTCGATCAAACAAGCTCAATTGTTTTGATAAGAATAAACTAAAAAAGTTATTTAGATATAGAGGAGCAAATACCTTTTGTGGAGATTGCACAAACAAAACAGAAAATGATTTCAATATACTTGCGCGAAGATGTATGACCGTTTTGTTTACTCACTCTTAAATAAATTTTCCTCCCCTTGGCGTCATTTTCTTTGTTGAGAGCCACAAAAAACTGACCATTTCCAGTCGAACTGTCTCCATTGAATTTCTTACCAAGTTTGATCATGCAGCTTTACCAACATTTAATCGTGATTTGTTCACATATTATTCTCATGATCACTTTTATTCATGTCTCGTCACAATCAGGTCATGGTCAAAAAATAAGTGAAGATTACGAAAAATACTCAGGAGACGACTACGGTATGAATTCTGGAAGCTATACTGAACAGAAAAGTGACATGATGGAGAAAAACAAAAACTATCTGCGGCTGAAGAACACTTTGCCAGCTGAAGATGGACTGCCAATCATCATACATGTCCATCTCAGCTTAGAAAGGTCAGTTAAAAATAACATATTAGAACAAGGATAGCCGGTTAGTGTGAAAGTAGCACAGAACGTTCCGCCCATAGTCTTACAAAATACGAAAAAAAAAATTCAAATTAGTGTCGTTTTTTTTCTGCGTGGTGAAAAGGTCTGAACAAAAAACTAAAACTTAGGCATATTTAACAGTCATAGTAAAACAGCCAAATTAGAAAACAGTTTTTGGAGAAAAAATACAAGAAAAATGAAAAAAAAAATCGTAACAAAAATTTGAAAAAATTTTCCATTTTTTTCAGAAAATTTTCAAATTTTTTTGATTCCTTAGAAAAAACACTGGCACTTAAAACTCCAAAAACTAACTTTACTTAGTTAGTAAAACAAAACTTTACAGCTTCAATTAAGCTAAAGTAAGCTAATATAAGCCTGCTCACTCGCTCGAAATTAGACGAAAAATCAAAAATTTTAAACCAATTTTTCTCGACACTGGGGAAAATTTTTTGAAATTTTTAACAGTCAATCGAATAACGCATTAAAAGGCTTTAATATGATAATCACTCGAACCAGTCCGATGACTATTTGTGGTACCTGATTTTGCGTGGAAAACAAAAAGTTGAAAAAAACTAAAACACACTTGAATTGAAAGTTCCTCCCCATTTTCAAAGGTCGGAAAAAAACAAAAAAAGTACCAAACAAGATTTAAAGAAGTTAAAAAAATGCAAAAAATATTAACAAAACTGTCCAAGTTCTCACTTCCCTTCAAGGTCTATGAAGTACTTTCGATAATAAAAAAATCGATGAAATAGACCAGAAGTAATTCTCATTTTTTGTAACCTTTACATTTTTGGTGTTCGATAGCGAAGTTTACCTTCATTTGAATAAAGGAAATGATCTGAACTTAAAAAGGAAACATCACCATTGGAAAATGGGATGGTGTAAAAGAACAAGAAAACCAAAAAAAAATGATTGAAAATTTTAAAAAACGTGTATTGAAAACTGTTGAACAATTTTTGAACATTGAAAACTGAATTAAAATGTAATTTGTTTATTCCGCTAAGGATTCAGAAATTAAAAGCCCACTTTTGAAAATAAAGTAATTCGCGTTTATTGTGACCATTTCACTTTTGCTGTTCGATATCGGTGTTTGCCTTCATTTAGCAAAGGAAATGAAGTGAACTTGTAAAAAATCAAATTTGAGCATGAGCAAATTTTACTTTTTCCTGCAAAACAAAAGAAAAATCATCTAGACCTATAGGTTAAACCTACGTTCTTTAACACATCAATAAAGCGTAGCAGATCTAAAGGGGCAATATCCCCCACCTTTTGAGATTCGATTCCCTGCTCAACTAAAGGGTTCCCTTTTAGGCTATTTTACGACATCTATTTTTGGCCAACCAGTTTGAAATGGTTTCGGCGTCCTTAGCGTCAAAAAATATATTAAACTTGATGGACGATTGTGGGCCTAAGAAATGGAACTTTTAGGTCACATTCGTCGAAAAAGTGCACAACAGCATCCTTTTTGGCCTTATTTTTGTTCCAGTCATTTCACGTAGTGCGAAAATACTATTGCGTAGGGTGTTTCACGTCAGATTTCGAATACCTCAAAAATATTTAGTTAAGATATCAAATAAAGTAGCATATTAAAGCCCTTTTGTTCGAGATTGAGATTCCAAAAAAAAATTTTTAAACTAAATTTTGTCGGTTTTCAGATCAACTTGATTACATTTAGCTTGAACTTTGAGCGTAATTCTTTTTGACTTAATTTATTTTTTGAGTTTTTACCAAATTTAAATATCCTTCACAAAAAATCAAGAGGTTAAATGAAAATTTGAAATATATATATATATATATATATATATATATATATATATATATATATATATATATATATATATATTTCCTGTGCGATGTTTTTCAGATTTCTTTATTTTTGGTCTTATTACTTAAGTCACAGTGGTCGGAACATTCTGTGCTACGTGCACAGCAGCCTTCCATCTTTTTTGCCCTGAGGTGTCATTTTTGGCCCTCAAAAGTTTGTCTGAGGAAAATTAGTTTGGTCGAGCAAAAACACGATCGTCAAGATTCAGAATTTTTTAAAATCTATCCCTTGAAAATTTTAGATCAGCGCCTGCTAATAACAACTAAAAACCAGAGACTTCTTGCTTGAACGTTACCTGAGAAATATATTCAATCAAAAACTGAACAAGGATTACTTTTTAGCATTCGTGACGTTGCCGGCGAAGCTACAATAGACCTGTACATGACTGAGTCGTGGACAGATTACCGAGAAGCATTCCAATATCAGGGATCCAATTACGACTACAACAACGACTACAATCCAAATACACCTCAAAGCCACGAGAAGAACGACTCAAAACCAGTGATCACGACTACAACACGAAAAGCAGTCACGACTACAAGTCCATGAATATGAGCAGTGACTACAATTCATCTTCCGACTACAGTTATTACGACCGTCCTCTTTCAGTGGTCCGGATGAGCGGGGCGGGGGTTGTAAACTACTGCTGGATTCCAGACACTTACTTCATTCTAGCCAGGTACAGAGTCGTCATACAAAAAAGCTCATTTCAAACTGTTTTCAATTACGTTTTGAACCACAATTTAGAGTCTTTCAAGCGGAAATTAATGCACCAATATTTCACTTCGCTTAGCTTGTGCAATCTCTCCGCATACGGAAACTTTGAAACCAATAACGCATTTTTGATCATAATATATAATATTTTATCCTTTTGCAACAAATTCTCAAAATTCCTATATCATTTTTGCTCAAAATCCTTTTTCTCACCATGCTTTTGACTCCGGCTTTATTGTATGACAACCCTGTATAGGTCAATATTCTACTCGCCGTCATCTCTGAGTCTGAGCGTTCTGGGCAATGGCGAGGTCACTCTGGACCGAAAGGTCAGACTAGTAACGCCTTGCAAGCCACAAGTGAAGTACTTCCCGTTCGACGTCACCACCTGTCGTATTTTGATATCCAGTTACGGCTTCGACGCCCGGGAGTTATATCTAATGTGGGAACGGGACGGAAAAGGGGAGGGGGTTTCCTTTCCATTCGAGTACGAACCTCTTTCCGAAATGGGGTTCAAAATCCTCAACATGAGTTCAACCTGTTTCTACGCTTCATATTCAGGATTCACATTTACAATCTTAGAAGGCGTGGTCCATTTAGAACGCCTGTATACTGTTTACATTTATCAAATCTACATCCCAGCGGCTCTTTTAGTTGTTCTAAGTTGGGTCACTTTTTGGATCAACAAGGGGGCGACTCCCGCTCGTGCTAGCGTCGGAGTCACCACAGTCCTGACGATGTTGACACTCGCGACTCAAAGTCAGCAAAATATGGAGAAACACATTACACTCGAAACTTCTTTGCTCGACATTTACATTTGGGTTTGCTTCAGTTTTGTCATCGCCGCCATGCTTGAATTCGCAATGAGTGATTTTTTAAACGATAAAGTGTCGCGCAAAGCAAAACAGGATGCAAATAGGAAACCAAAGAAGAGTCTTCAAAAACCGGATCCCTCTGGAACTTTGCTGATGAACAAAGAATTTAATGGCAATATTCACGCCACGACTTCGGCTAATAACGATTTAAACTTAATCAGTGTCGAAAAATCGAAAAAGAAAAAAAGACCATCGTATGCTTTCGTTTCTAAAATTGACAGAGCTGCACGTGTTTTTTTCCCGGTTGTTTTTCTAGTATTTAACTGTTTCTACTGGTTATATGTCGCTTATATTCTCATGAACTCCAGCTATGGAAGTCCTTCGCCAGACCCACCCTTACCATGTGCTGGTTTCCCGTTACGGTGATAAGGTTTGAAATATATTTAGAAAGAGAACTTACTTTGCCACATCCGTCGGCAGCCGACTCAACTGAAACAGAACAAAAACACTAATTAGTCATTCAATATTTGAAATTAAATTCTTAAAATTACAAAATAAAATGTTAATTGGGCTCTTTTCAGTTTATAAAATACCGTTAAAAAAAAGAAATTACTGACATTAATATCTGGAATAAAATTATTTATTAGCTTTTTTAGTTCATTCATTCTGAAATTTTTCCAATCAACTAAAATAATTTGATGTATATTCCAGTTCTCATGCAGGTACAGTTATCATTATAGAAAAATGTTTTCAAGTTCACTTATTTTCGAATATCTGAAATAGGGGCAGACGACTAACACCCCCCCCCCCCCCAGGGATTTGACCACCTCATTAACCAAAGGGTCGTCCCTCTGGTATTATTTTATGAAATCCAATTTTGAACGTTCAACCCTTGAATGTTTCAAACGCGCGTAAAGCGCCAAAATATACTAATATCGAAGGTGATCGGCGCATAAAAAAACGCAATTTTTTGGCAAAAATTTTCCAAAAAATGTCTTAAAACGGCATTTTGACCTGTTCTTTCAGTTCTTCTTTTGAGTTTTTTAATTGTTTTGGGAGCGCTCGGAAAATCAATGCAATCAAAAAACTTTGGCTGAGTAACAAAAAAACTTATTTAAGAATCTTTTAACGCCTAGAATCTTATTTTATACATTTATTTGCTAGACAGACACATTTTTTAAAACTAGGGTGACCTTTTGGTTAACGTCGAACAATCGCTCTCGAACAATCACTCTGGCTTAATTTTCATTAACTTGTTTTACGGCTTCAACAATTTCACTGTTCCCTCGCTATCAACGAAAATTGCAAAAAAATGGTTAATAAAAAAACTTTACTCTTATGCTTAGAGATTTGGTTCGAACCATATTTTAAAAGTCATGAATGCAGTGAATACTTTTATATAGATCTAGGTAATTTTTTTATAATTGTTCAATTATATATGTACAATTTAATTTTGACACTTTTTCGACAAAACTAGCCCAATTTGAAAAAAAACTGGATCAATAAGTAATTTTTTTTGCTGCTCGATAGTATAGTTTGCTTTTCTTTCAACAAAAAAAAAGAAATCAACAGTCAAACCGCAAAAAGAAAACAAATTTTTGCGTGCAACAACTAATTTTAGGACTTTTCCTGGAAAAAAACAAACAAACAAAAAAATTACCTAGATCTATATAAAAGTATTCACTGCATTCATGACTCTTAAAAGATGGTTCGAACCAAATCTCTAAGCATAAGAGTAAAGTTTTTTTATTAACCATTTTTTCCAATTTTCGTTGATAGCGGGGGAACAATGAAATTGTAGAAGTCGTAAAACAAGTTTAAAAAAATCAAGCCAATAGTTCGAGAGCGATTATTCGAAGTTTACCAAAAAATCACTCTTGCAAAAAATCGTGTTAAGTAAAAATTATCCACAACAATTCGTTTTCGACGCATGAAACTTTTCGAAAAAAAAACGAAATACGAACAGATTTCACGAAATAACCCCATTCAAGGTACTCATTTCACAAAAACACGAAGACTCATTGTTTGCATGCGCTAGACGCAAATTTTTTAATGAGTCTACATAGAAGCTCTTCATCTTGGTTGAAACTAACTAAAATCAATTTGTGGCCTAAAAAATCCATATTTTTTAAAAGGGTTTATTATCAAAAACAATAAATAATTCAAGGCTGTACTTTCAAATAAATGCACATGTTTGTGAATTGCTGGCAATTTTGCGTGAATACGGTTTTATGGGGCAGTACAACAGTGCCGAAGTACAACAGTGACGAAAAAAAATTAGTTCAACAGTGCCAAAAATTTGAACAAATTTCATCATAGTAAGTGCGGCAATCAAAAACTAAACGGCGAACGTTTAAAATCTTAAGTACCACTTTAAGATTTTGAGCGAGAAAATTTGCAGTTTAGACATTTTGGCGCCAAAATAATTGTTTAGTTTGCAATTTTGGACATTTTGGCTCCAAAATAATTGTTTAATTTGCAGTTGCAGATATTTGGCTCCAAAATTGGAGTGATTTTCTTTGTTAATTAGCGTCAGTAATTTCCCGATCTTCAGAAAATGTTAGAACTATAATACCTGGCAAAGTGTTGGACTCGGTTTAATTTGAAATGATTTATTTTGCCGTTTAAGCTTTAATAAGAACAAAATATATCGCGGGTTGATGATCACTATTCAAACCATGATTTTGTTGCGAAAAATAATCCCGAATGATGTCTGGAGAAAAAACTACCCCAAGCAAAAATGTTCAGTCATTTTCTTCGAAAGTTGAAACAAAAACCAATTTGAGAACCGAGCTTCAAAGGAAATTAAAGCTCAAACCGCCCAAAAAATCAATGAGCATGAACAAATTAAAGACTTGCTCTTAGAAAACATAGCCAACATAGAAACAGAAAAAAACCGACTTGTTTTTCTTTGAAAAAATCTCAGCCTTCAAATTACAAAGAAAAACATAGATGGCCTTAAAGCTTTTTGAGTTTCTAAAAAATTTATAATTGCGATTTTTTTGATGACCCAATTTGAGAAAATTGTATCAATACGTAAAGAATTAAAATCGCTGGGAAATCTGAACAATAAATTCCACTTTCGAAACTAGAAGTCGAGAACTAAATAAGAGTCTTCACTGCGTTCATTTCCACGAAAAAGTAAATTTATTCATCGACTCTTAAAAAATGAAGAAATTAAACACCCCTTTTACTTCGTGCATTAACAACAAAAAAGTATTCACCCGCACTCAGTAAAAAGAGAAAATAATAGAATATAATGTATTTGTATTGTCAGTCTCCATAAATTTCAAAACAAAAGAGATTATAATCGATTAAAATTGGATTATAATGTTACCATTTTTCAAAACAAAAAAAATCCAATATAATCGATTATAATAGATGATTGTTTGAAAAAATTATTTCCGAAACTTTATTGAATTATAATCCATTTTAATCGATTATAATCCATTTTTTATTCAAAAAACGTCATCGCTTCATTTCGTTTTATTTTTGTTTTGTTTTGTGTGCTTTTCAGTTGGTTTCTTTTCTTACTGTTTACTGTTTACTTTCTTACTGTTTACTGCAAGGACGGATTTGAGGGGTGGGGGGGCGCTTTTTTCAGGGATTCGACCCCCTGCCTACCCAAAGGGTTCCCCCTTTGTACTGTTTTGAGATATCCATATTTGGTGACGGACCCCTTGGCCTTTGGCGCCAATAAAAACTAATTTTGAGGGGGATCGCGCGCCAAAAAAAAAACAATTTTTTGGTGAAATTTTTCCAAAAAATGCCTAAAAAGCAGTTTTTGGCCTGTTTCTTAAAAAGTTAACCTGCGGCGCACAAACTTTGGCCAAAAAAGGTCTTTTAAGTGCTTTGGGAGAGTTTGGAAAATCAATTTGGTCGACCTAAAAAAAGTCGATAAAATTTTTGGAAAGTTTTTGAAAATCCGCCTCCACCCTTCGAGAAAATCTCATCCGCCCCTGGTTTACTGAAGAACAGCTAAATTATAATCCATTATAATCAGTTTTCTTGTAAAATAATATTTTGATAGAAAAAGGGATTATAGTCTATTATAATAGATTATAAGAGATTATAAGAAATTTTCGGAAAAATTATCATCAATTATAATTGATTATAATTTATTAAATTGTCACCAAAATTTTATCATCAAAATGGATTATAAGTCGTTTAAACATCTAAAATTGGCGCTTATAATTAATAATAATTTTGCTAGAAGTGCGATTATAATTATAATATAATCGATTATTTTCTCTTTTTACCTAGTGCGGGCACTTTGTGAATGGTAAAAAATGAAAATATGAATAAAGAATAAACAAACCGATGGCACTTTCAGTGGTGGCATTTGCAAGAGTGGCACTTGTAGCGTTTATGATTGGACATGATCTGTAGTAGTCGTCGTGGATGTGCTTGCAACTTTTAATGGCGTCGATTACGAACGCGATGGAGATGAAGACGCCGAACACTTCATCCACTGACCTGTAGCAAAACTTCATCAAGTAGCAGCAGTTCGTACACGAGTAGATCGCCAGGAAGAAACTGTTGAAGAGACCCGACACACTAAAAACAAACAAACAATCAATGATACTTTTACTCATGCTTTTACCAATTTAAAAACTAATTTGAAAAAAATTCAATTTGCCAAACTTTCAATTATTTAAAAACTTCACTACGATTACTGTAGTCGAAAATTCTGTTCCAAGTTCACAGCAATAGGCTATCCTTGTGTACTAAAATATAGTTTGACTTTGAGAAAGACATACTTTTTAACATATCTGAGTCTTATTTGAATCATGTCAATTGTTTTTTTTTGGAATAAGCTTGAAATTTGGTGGAAATTAATAATATTTCAAAACTGCCGCCGTTTTGGATTTCTTCAATCAAAATCAACGCCTCCCAATTAGGCTTCATATGATTTAGAGTACGACTTTAAGCTCGCAATGTTTATAACGAAATATTTGCTAATTTTTAATTCTAAATTCTAATTTAAATTCTAAATACCAATAGAGCGTGAAAAAATCATCGCCCAAGTCTTCCGATATCTCTTTGATGATGAGTGTGAATATGACCACTGGTGCTGTTGTGATCAAAATCACCAGGTGTTGACCACCGAAGAAGGAGAAGATGGCCCCTCCGATGCCCTGGGCCACAATCATCTTCTTGATAGTCATCGCTCCGTCTGTGTTGCTCTTATTCGTCACACCAAGTGCTGAAATTCAACTTATTTATTATTAAGCAAAATGATCTAAAAACAAAACTAGTTTTGTTTTGGAAGTTTCATTTAGCGCTTCCGTGCCAATGAAGGTTTTTTTTAAAATAAAAATTGCAAAAAAAATGAAAAAAATAAAAAATATATATCTCAATTTTTCGCTTTTATCTTTGACATTCGTTTTTTGAAACGTTTGTAAAGTTCTGTCATCACATTATGCTCTTAAATTATATCGGACTGTAACTTTTCAGGATTCCGAGTTTTACCAAAATTTCGAACTGGTAAACAGTATTTAGGACGAAGAAAACAAAACCACAAATTATTAGTTTTCCTGAAGAGAAAAATAGCCAACACACAGTTGGAAAAAGTCCATGAACGCAAAGAAACAGAAAATAATTTAACTTTCAAAATTCAAAGTAAACAAGACTGCTCGTATCAGGGCGAAGCCCTGAATGTTCCGACTACCCTTCATTTGGTCTCGAATAGTTTTTGGCTATTAAAATATTGACAAAACTATGAATTTTAAGCTGATAAAATCAAATTTAAAGTGTGAAAAATTTAATCCGCATATGGAATTAGTACGACCAATTAGCTGCCTCAATTAAATTTGGAACATTTTGAAGTGCGGGTTCATTCGCCAAGTGTAAAGTAAAACACGGGCAGTTTATGAAGAACCGTAGCAGGTTACTATAGTGGTTTGCACACACGGATAAGCCCATGCAGATTAGGAGATCGATCCCCCGAGTGAGCAAAGAGTTTTGTGAAATTTGTCCGAATAAAAAAACACCCGAGCATATATGTTCCTCGCTTTCTTCGAAAGGCGGAACGAAAATAGATGACTATGCAGTCGTTGAATTTCCAAAACAATTTATGATTGATACTTTCATTATGAAAATAAAACCTAATTTGAGAAAACTGGAAAGCTAGGTAAATGTTAACTCCTCTGGGTAGTCTGAAAATTAAATTCCATTTTTGAAACTAGAATTCGATCACATTTTTCGTGACTTTTACACTTTCTCAATTGGAGAGCGAATTTTACCTACCTTTTAAAAAAAGAACTTGAATTGAACTCAAAAAGTGCCCATACACCTAAGGGCATTCATAAATGCATTCATATGTATATATGCACTTTTTGTAGTTGTTAGAGCATTTTAAACATTTTCCTGAAAAAAAAATACAAAAAAAATCATCATGACCTATAGAAGAGTTTGAATTACGTTCTTCGAACCTTAAGAACAATATTCATTTATCCTTTACTTCGTTCAATTTCACTTAATACATCATTTTGACCATAGACATTGCCAACTGACAGTTGGAAAAGAGAAATGAACGCAAGTAAACAGAAACAATCTGACTTTTGAAAAAATCTCAATTTTCGAATTTCAATGAAAAAAAAATAGATGACCTTTAAGCTCTTCGAATTTTTAGAAAAATTTACACAGAAGCGAAGCTGCGCATCGCAAACACTTGTGAGAACACGGCCAAAAAGCAGCTCTTTCAAACGGAATAAGAGAAAGTCAAAATTAGCCTCGAATTAGCAAAAACTCTGCTACGTATAGGATTCGAACCAGCCACCTACTGCAATCAAGAGATTTTGAGTCTCACTCACTACATACTCAGCCACGCAAGCTTAACAACCGAAAAACACTGCCAATGCTATTCAGCAAAAGTGGCACCAAGTACAATCAGACTCAATTTTGCAAGTTAAATTTTGGAATATAAAAAACAGAAGGCATTCACACTAACTTTGCATGTAACAAATCGCAAGGCATAAAGCCACATTATGTATAAATTATGCATTTCAAAAAATTGCGAGATATATTGAGTTAGAAAATTTCTGAAATCGAGTTTTTATGATTGTTGTTGTTTGAAACAAATCACTTTTTTTCGGTTCATTTGATGAATTAAAAATGCATCAACTGTGTTATATTATTACTATTTGAATGTCAAAGCACATGCTTTGAAAAAGCTGTAAAGGCGCCCTAAAAGTGGCACCAATATTTGTGACTGAGATTGGCAAAAAAAGAATGTTGGTACTAATACACTCGCTTCGCAAGTGTAATAATTGGCACATTTCTCATAATATTAACTCAATTTGAGAAAACTGAACAAGAAGGAAAGTTTTTATTCCGCTAGAAATCTAAAAATTAAATTCCTCTTTTGAACTAGAAGCCGGTCACGTTTTTTTCGCGCCATTTCCATGTTCGTATTTGGAGAGTGCTGATTACGTAACCTTCAGCAGATGAATTTCAATAGAACTTAAAAAGTGCATATATAACTAAGTACATTTATAAATCTATTAATATGTATGAATGCACATCTGTAGTTATTAGAGCATTTCAAGACTTTTCCTGAAAAAAACCAAAAAAAATCACCAAGACCTATATAAGAGTCTTCACTACGTTCATTACTCTTTAAAAAAGATAAAATTTCAGTGGTCGAAACAGAAACTTGAACAATCAATCAGTTATGGACAGAGTACAAGATGTTGATTGGTCGAATTTTTGGACCTTGTATGACGAAAATAGCCAGCAAAACTCTGTAGTACATTTGGACCTTGTATGACTAAAATAGCCAGCAAAACTCTGTAGCACAATAATCTTACCCAAGAGCGGCAACAGTATCGCAAAGTACAGAAAGAGAGTCGTAGAGATCAATTTCGAAAGCGCCCTCACTCCCGTCACACCATCAACGTAATCTCTCAGATAATAGCGACCCCTTCTCAAAATATCCTGTCTGACTCCTAGGAACAGCCAGTCCATTTTAGCTATTCTTCGTCCATACGATTGCAATGCAGTTGAGTTCTCGTCCTCTGGAGTTTTGTGGATGTGCAATTTCTCCTCGTCGAAAGTAACTTCAGCTCCGGAAGATACCTTCGGCAGTCTTGCACGTGTTCTGGTGTCTTTGAGGACTTCCACTCTTTGCTTTATCGCTTTCTAGAAATGATAAAAAAGGAAGTTAAGGTCACATCTAACTGAAATTTAACCTTCTTTCAAAGAAACATTTAAAATTTCAAAGAAACATTTAAAAATCACAAAGCAAATGTTTTCAAAATAATTTTCAATCAATTTTGCGCATCTAAAAACTTAAGTTTCCTTATGTTACAGTTTTAAGACAACTCTTACTTTTTGAACTTTAACTTTTCGCACTTCTACTTTTTGGACACTTATTTAGAACACCCCGACCTCCAGAGTTAGAGTCTAATGTCTTCACAACTGCGAACTAGCACCTACCAGCCACCAATAAAGCGGATAAAACCTACTATTAAATTTCCAAATAGAACTTGAATTACAGCAGTACACAGATACTGAAACAAAACTTTTGTCGAGCTCTAATTTATGCGAGACCGTTTGGAACTAAGTTACCTCGTAAAAAACAAGTGTCTGCTTGTGTAGAAAACACAATAAACGAAGTTCTGAGCTTGAAAAATAGATCATTAAAGGGAGCTACTCACAAACACATCGCCGTCGCTCTTCGCATTCATCATCTCCGAGCGGAAGTTGACGTCACAGAAGAGGGTGGAGATGGTCCTGCCCACTTCCAGCTCACTTTTTGTCTTCTTAGAGTTGGCCGGGGTCAGGATCAGAATCACGAACCTAACCTATACAAGACAAACAGTATTGAACTTTAATATTTTTGTTCCGACTATTGACCGGGCGTGCTTTAGTTTTTAATCCTCACAAAATGTGGTACCTCAAATAGTAAGCGGAATAGGTCGAGTGATATACCATTTTAAAGCTCTTCCCATCGTGATTTGATTTGAACAGTACAGTTTTCAAAAACCTGTCCCAGTGTCGAGAAAATGCTATTTGAATAATTTGTGTTTTAGTCTATTTTCGATCGAGTAAAGCGAGCGATTAGATCCAATAACTATATCTTAGCATAAAAATTTTCATTTAATTAGTAAAGCAACTTAGTTTTGATGGGAATAAAATCAACTTTTTTAATTTTCGAAATTTTTAAATTCGAAATTTCTTCTTTAAAAAAAAAATTTTTAATTGAAGAAACAATCATCATGCATACCAGGCACGTATTCCGTAACTTTCAAAACTAAATCATTAACAATAAAATATATACCTCTTGTGTAGTTGGTCCCATATTCATGGCATGTTTCAACTTCGCAATGCAGATACGCCGAGTGGAAATGGATGTCATGGTGCAAAGGCCACAAATCCACGATTGGTCCAGATCTACCCACCCGTCGTACACACACGTACCCTGAAACGATGCAAAAGCACTTATTATACATATAAATTTAATAATAATAACATACAAAATTGTTTCCAATCTAGGTTACCATAATTATATCAGGAATTTATACACTTTTTTAGATTGGGAGGACGCTATCAGGCTGCAGGGGCTTGTTTTCGGGCGCCTCAAGAAATTTTCTTCAAGAAGGAAACAATTTTTTTAATCGAGTTATTAGCAAAACTTAGAAAAAATTGTATCTTGGAAGACCTCCAAAAAAGGCAGTTATTAGAAGAAAAAAAAACGATTTACTAAATTTCTGAAACAGCATAAATATTATGCGAATATCACTATAGTAGAACAGAGCCTAGTGAGTTATGACCGAAGTGGTTAACTCATAGAGTAATTTCGGATAGAGTACACCGTCTGCTCGTCACGCTATCTTATTTTCGGCCGGATAGATTCGTGCAACTTCTTAGTCTAATACCGATCCTAATCTTACTCTTATACTATCTAGTCTCAGGTTGTTTAACTAGTCTCTGCTAGGCTCAATAGATCTAGGGTATACTGGTTTATTGCGGCTGCTGAAGTGCTCGGGAGAGTCCAACTAATTTCTAAGTTAAATTCAAATCTCTCTGGTGCTGAAATTACAAGTAACTTCAGCACTTACAAATAAGTGGGTTGTTAGTTAGATGGATCATGATTGGTTAATATTAAATACTTTACATTGGTAAAATATCTAAATTATCCAATCATAAAATGTAGTTTAGATCAGGTTCCACCCATCCGGGTTTTACAGAGTTTTTTAGAATAGTTCTTCTGCAATTCGAAGGATGGATGATGGAAGTTGGTGTTTGGCGAACATCTTATTTCTTCTGTTTCCTTTTTGTTAAAGAAGTTCCAGGAAGCTGGAGTTAGAGACATAAGACGTTGTGTCTTCTAGTGACAACGACTAAGTCTTCGCAACAAACTCAAATCTGATTTCAGAATGGTTGGCTATGTCAGGTTTTTCTGTTCTGCGTGGAGAACTTCTTTTGTGTCTGGTCTAGTTTGGGAATGGCGTGGAGATTGTGCGTGGAGGGGATGCCTGGTTACTCGGATCTGTACGTATACTTGAACATCGAGGTGGTCATTGGTCTAGTTCAATGAAGTCCTTTTCTGCGAAGTCAAGTCGTACTCTAAATCCTTTGAGTTGTGATTGTGAGTGGCATATCGATTGTGGTTGGTCATTCTCTCTCGAGTGTAGTGGGGTCGTTTTGTCTTTAGATGTTCGTCCTTGGTGTTGTATTCTGATCTATGTATTGCATAATGTAATTTACATTTTATAAAACATTTATTAGTTTAATATTTTTTAATTATGATTTTAGTTAGTTGTTTTCACAAAAGCTTTTTGTTTTAGTTCGGTTATTTTGAAGAGTTACTCACACTTGAGTAGCTCTTATTAAAAATAGTGGTGTGGTCACAAAGCGTGGATGTAGCGCGGTGGGTTAGGCCGGCTATAGAGCATACTCAGGACGTCCTTCCTGGTGGGTTAGGCCAGGAGTGGGAGTATGATTTCATGCGGTTTTTGTGAGGGGTCCTGTTATGTGACAACGTTTTATGTTGGGTTTGTTGTGGTTTTTCTTATGTTTTGTTGGTTGTGTCCTTTTTTCAAAAATCAAATTGTTTGTGGTATGGGTTTGTCTTTCGACTTTTTTGTGTTTTATTATTTCTTTCTTAGACTTTATAATAGTCTTCAAAAGAATAAATTATCCAGTTTTAAACTGGGTTAATCCGGTTTGGGTACCGTTGGTTTCCTTTTCTTAGTCATGCTGTTATTCTATGATTTGTGGTATTTAGTAAGCTGCGTTGGTTAGTTTTGTTTAGTATATGATTCCTTTCCAACCGGGTTAAAGGAAAGTTTGAAACATGTTATTATATGTGAGAGTTGTTGAGTGTGAAAACTTGAAACTGAAATTCATTATTTTAAACAATTCTTCGTGGGCGAGCTGTGCGAGTGTGGATAGAATTTCTGTGCGAATAAATGAAAATATCAAAAGGTTAGTACTGCAATTGCATTTTATTAATTTACTGCATAGAATTTGTAAATTTACTGCTAGTTATGGGGGAATTTTAAGTTACAAATTTTCATCATAATTAGATTTACTGCTTGTGGGGAAAATTTTAGAAATGAATTTACTGCATTGGTATTAAATTTATAAATTTATAAGTGTAAGAGATTAATAGAATTGTTGAAGTCTGTTTGATGAAATTTGCGATCTTTATTTGTTTTTTGTGGTTTTTGTAGGTGATCGTCGGATGAAGGCTAAAAATCTAAAGAAAACATGGATAAAGTATGGTGAGTTTTTTAATATTTCAATTAGTTAGTTATATTCATTTAATTCATACTTACCTGTTAGTCGTCGGGAAAAAACCGTGGGGGAAAATGTCGTGAATTAGTTCTGAAGTTGTTAGTAGTTTAGCTAAGATGCGGATGATATTTTTAGTCTGAAGCAGTGGCCAAAGCAATTGAAGTGCCTTGATAGTGGTTAGTTCTTCAGTGCCAACTGCAAACTCATAAGGTGTGTTTTGGATTAGATTATATAATTTGTGATTGAATTTAGTGTTGTGGATGAATTCTAAAATTGGGATTTCTATAGGTTGTACAAACTCGTGCGGGATAAGGAAGGGTCGGGATTCTTCGGCGTTGAAGGTCTTGGTGATGGGACAGAAGATGTACATTTGGGTTATGGGGTCATAATTACGAAGAATACCATGGAGGTTAGTGTCTTTAATACAATATGTGAAATTTAGGAAAAATGGTGAAGTGTATTTGGAATTAATGAATTGAAAACGATGGTGTGGTTGTCTAGAGGGTGTGTGTAGGTCAAAGTGATTTTGGATGAAACGATAATAACTATATGTGTGGGTTTGTTTAGTGCGCAACATAATATCGTGTGAGCAGTGTAAATCTCTTTCGTGTGGTGCAAGGAAATGAAAGGTTAGTGAAAATATTTGGAAGCGTTCTTTGAAACTTTCGTATGCTTGTGTGTCTGTTAGTGCTTCTGAAATAATGTGATCAAACTTTCGGTCGAAGATGTTTAGTGTGAATATATATGGTGTCTTGATGAAAAATTTCTCGGTAATTTGTGGATTAGCGAAGCGATCGTCGTCTAAGAATTGATCTTGGTTAGCTCTGATGATGTTGTGATCATAGTATTCGAGTGTATATTCGTTAGCTCTAGGTGCAGTGTGTGTTTTTAGTGATTTTTTATATCCAACGTAAGTAAATTGTCTAGCGGTTAGTGGTGTAGTGAGTCGATATAGCATGTCCGTATTTCGCTCTATATCGATGTGAGTGTTAGATAATGGTAAGCAAAGGGGGTTAGTAAAATGATAATATGAGGTCCAAGAGAGAGTGGGCATTAAAACGTATTCATCTACGAAGTTGCGTGTTTCGTTAGTGTCGTGGGGGGTGTTTAATGTGTATTGTGGGAATGAGGGTAAGGTGATGGCTAAAAATTCTTTTGTGTTAGTATGCTTGGGGTGGTTGATGTATTCACGGGCTGTTCCTGGTTTTGCTGGGAAAGGATGGTTGGGGAACTTTCTTTTAAAAGTGCGGTAAGCTCTATTAGTGTTGAGTGAAGATTCAGTTGATGTTGATGATGGTGCTAATGATTCAGTATAATTTGAAGAGGGTGTAGGGGTAGGGGGGTTGGATGAATTTATTGTGGAGGAGATTTGGTTTATGGTTGGGGTATTAAGGTGGTAGGGTTGTTGTTGAAGGGTAATAAAATTATCTAGCTCTGGGGAGATTCGGGGGGTGTCTGGAGAATGAGATGATTGGTCAGAATGGTATGAGGAGTAGGTTGGGGTAACTTGGGAAGCATAAGAGGGTGTGGGGGTGATTGGGTCAGGGTTATTGGATAATATGGGTTGAAAAGGGGGTTGAGAAAAATTAGAAGAGTTATGAAAATTATTGGATGGGGATGGTTCTGAGTCGGCAAATTCATCGGGGGTTTCAATATTCGGGTTATTGAGTTGTGAGATGGAATATAAAACTGAGATGTGTGAATTAGTATCGGAATTCATGCCTGATGTTACATTACTAGATGGAAAATCGGGTGGCGGAAAAGCAAAAAGTGGTATTATTGGGATTGGGGAGGTAAGATTGGTTGGGTGGGAATTTGATCGGTGTAGTGATCCAAGTTGGCGGCTCATCGTGGGCTAAAAAAATGATTATTTTGAGACTGAAAAGCGGTGGTATGGGGTTGTTCAATAATTTGTTCATAAGTATTATCATCTTGTGACTGGTGTGTCATTATATGTTGAATGGGACTTTGTGATGTGGTGAGTCGAAAATTTGGATTATGTGTGATGGCTAAGTTTCGAAAATTTCGTGGGACTAGGGATAGTGGATGGTTATTTGGTAGGGGTGGTAATTGTGGTGCCGTTGGCGTTATGTCTACATTGTTATGTTCTTCGTCGTATGTATTTTGTCGTGTTGCTATTTTTGTGTTATATTCTTTTATTTGTGCGTCTAAAAGAATTTTGTTTATAGATGTAGAAAAGATTCCAAAAAATCCTGCAAAGAGTATGCGTGCTACACTTGCTTGTCGATTGACCTGTGTGTGTATAGCACATGTGTTGTAGATTCCTTTTAAAAGTGAGAAAAGAAATCCAATAAAGTTAAACATTGCGTATAAAATAGTCAATTTTTCTAAGATGTAGTAGGGCCATCCTAGAAAATCGAGGATCTCATTTTTGAGTGTAACAAAGCTAAAAATGTTAATTGGTGATATATCTTGGGGACGGTATTTTTCACCGTTTAGATATATATAATCTTTAATGTCTTTAAAATATCCGCTATAGTCTTGCGTGTAGATATCGGCAAATCCTGCGGTTTCTGCAAGTTTGCGTAAATTTTGGTCTATTGATTGTCTTTGTATAGTGTCCATTTGTGTTAATAATTCTTGGAATTGTTGTGTTCTAATGTGATGTTGAATATCTGATTTTGAATAGATTCCTATTGATTGTAAGTCTATATTTGG